CTCATTTGTGACCAGATACTTATTTCTAGTAATCCAGCTCAACATTTTGAAAGCACAGAGTCCTATTTGCAAGAACTCAGACATTGATCCATTCTTAGTCTTGCTGGAGAAGCCAGATACCATACAACAAGTTTCATACCTTTTGCCATGTAGTTTGTCCAGTCTACTAAATTCTCTAGCCGTTTAAGACCTCATTGTAATAGTTTTCTGAGATTTCTAACCTCAAACCAACAACTCGATTACGGCTCCTTAACCTCCTTACACAACTAGCGTGCCTCATTTTTATAGAGTGTCTCCGGTATCCGTCTAGCGTCAGCAACGTTGCGTTCGGTGGTTACACCTTAAACATGTTTGTAGTTTTCAAGGTCTCCCAGGATGCCAAATGCATGCGCACGAGAATCGAAGACCGCGACGCGGCATGGTGCAGCGCGCTGCCATTTATTGCAACCTGACCAATCACATTTCAAGAAGGCAAATGGGCTCGATTCATCGTCGTGAGACGCGTCTAAGGAAATAAGTTAAGATCATGAATATGATGTAACATGCACGTAGGATTGGTGATCCAAGGCACAAATCAATTCGCGCCGATAACTAGATAATCCCCATCAAGCATCAAGGAGATGTCTCGAACGCCTTCCGAAGGCTCGCCCAAGCGAGGCACTGCCCGGTACCACCTGACGATATCGATGGTGTGATGATATCCGTTGCAGATATCCATCCTGAAAATGCATATTTGTTTATTGTAGCAAACTTAACGCAGGTGCGTGGGGAAGTGTGGATGTGGTTGCTGCGATTACCTCTGCTTGATGCCCAAGATACGGCGATGTGGACTACTGGGATCACGTCGATATGTGGCTATAGTGTTGGAATGTGACTTCAATTAACGACGGGCTGGATGCTGGGTCATCTTCGTCGAGGGTACACCACTCCTTCAAAGTCCAGACAGCCGACGTCGTGTCAACAGAGGAAATAGGACATCGCAACTCAAGTCGGAGTCGCGATCTTGTGGTCCAGTCGAAGCGCAGGGAGAGCACATCAAGTTGCTGTAGGGGTCAGGGGATCAGGCAAGATGCTCCCTTTATAATGCCTGCTGGGGCTCACCCAACGAGGGGAGCTACAATATAGACGCAGAGGATGGTAGCTAACAGGTGAAGGTTGTATCTGGCGAGGGGGACGGGGAACAGTTGTGTTGGTGTCACCCTAAAATGATTCCGGGTGAGGCGACCGGCGACAGGCTGTATGGATATCACAGCCGACATCATGAGCGCCGGGATATGGCCTAGGTTATGTTGCGTATGGGGGGCCTATCATTGCCATCATGCGCGGCGTGATGTGGGTTATTTTGCATACGGGGGGCCTGGGACAGGCCGCAAGACCTCTCCGCCCCTTTCGGAATGCTTGTAGTGGGTTTGAAGCGCGACTGGAGTCGCCCATTGGTCGTCTGCGGTGTAGACTGTAGTCCAAGCAACACGTCGGTTAGCGGGTTTCAGCCTAACTCAACTGGCTGCCCACTTCACTGCCCCTGCCTGTCTCGCTCTCACTCCCCCCCACCCTCTGCTGTACTCCACTCACCCCACCTCGCTTGGCTCACTCGCCTTCCCCCTATATCGCTCTCATCCGCCCATAGTGCTGTTGAGTCTCTTGGCCCCACTCTCCGCACCCATAGCAGCACACTGCTCAGCCAAATCACCATCCTCCCGCTTTCTAAAGTACCACTGTGTACACAAGCTGTTGATCACTCTCCCCCCACCCACCGTTTCATACCTTTCCTCACTCACCTACCACCTCTCCACACACATACACACACTCTCCATTCCTATCCCTTCACCAAACTTAGCCCCAAGTCGACTCCATTTCACTGCTGTTCAAGGTTTTTTTTTTTTTTTTTTTCCAGCCACAAGCTAGATTAGTAGTGAGTGCTAGAAACCATGAATTACAGCCATTTTACTCTTCCGCCCATGGCTTAGGCTCATAATACTTCTGTACTTTCCTTCTGAACTCCAGTCAACACCTCGAGAAATTTTACCGCCCAACCCGTACGCTCAACCCGCATACTCAAAGCTTCCCGTCTGCAGCTTTGCTTAGCCGTTAGTATTTCCTCTGTTTTGTTCCTTTCCGTCTTTTTTGCTTCTCCTTCGTCCTTTTTCTTGCGCCATCCTCTGCATTCTTTCCACAGTTAAGTCTTGTGTCTTCACTGCCATTGGTGGCTATGAGTATAACACTTGCACATCTCGCTTATCGTCAACCATCCTAAATTCTAATAAACCGGCAGGGGTAGGCCTCTCCCCCCCCTCTTGCCCCGATCAGACAACATGACTCCTCAGTCCCCTTTTCTAGATGACTCTTGATGCTCATGTCCTAACCCCACAAGTGTCTGAACCGTTTGACACGGCAAATGCGGTCTTCCCGAGCATTTTATCACGTCTCCATCATTTCTCCCCGCAGTGCTGTTGACCCTCATCCTGCAGCAGCCGGTGAAGGATATCTAGTTCCAGCCTTGCGCGTAAAAAACTTTGAGGCTCTTTTTTCAGTGCTCTGTCCTTCTTTGGTCCGTACGACGAATTGGCATCCAGTATCCCCTCAGGGGGGCCATTTCCTCGTGACAAATCGACTTTTGACGCGCAATCGGCACTGCTGTCGACATGATAATCTCCCATCCGTTCTCTGCTCCGCCTAGTCTGAGCTCCACTGGAGGTTTTTTACCCCAATCGCACGGGTTGATACCTCTCCAATCGTACCATCCACCAGTCTTGATTTCTCTCCACACTTGACGCGCTCCTTATTTCGGCCCGACGCACGTGGCTGCATGTCGATCCCTTTATCCTATCATGACGTAACCCAATGGCTTACACCACTCGGTCATTTCACCACCCCAATTCGGCAGTCTCTGGCTGAGTAATCGCATTCATTTATGTGCTTACTGTCGCTGAAACTCCGTCGGTCCTCTTATGGGCCTGCGCTGTGCGCATACATCCAAGTCCTCTATTCCCTTGCCATGTCAGATAATCCGCTCCTTGGGATTCCTCACTGGCGGTTTTGATGAATCCTACTATAACTATAACCACTTGACTCATTCAGTGTTTCGGCTGCTGGTTGACCACCTTGATTACCCCTTGACAGTGACCGCCTTGATTCCCACCCCGCATCATGCCGAAAGATCCAACTGCCAGCTCAAAGCGTGCCCCTAAATTAGATGCCGATGGCAATCCGATTAAAGCTAAGAGGGTAAAGAAAGACAAAGATCCCAATGCACCCAAGCGACCACTATCGGCCTACATGGTCAGCTCTCACTCCTATCTCATAGTAGTCACAAATCCTTGGGGTAGTCACTAATTGCTCTATGCTACATGCTTCACAGTATTTCAGCCAGGATTGGCGTGAGCGGATCAAAAACGAAAACCCTGACGTCTCCTTTGGTACGCACGATTAAGCAAGACACTCGCTAGGCACCCCACTGATTCCATCCAACTGTTTTTTTAGGCGAAATTGGACGGTTACTCGGTCACAAGTGGAAAGCCCTATCTGAGGAAGAGAAGAAACCATGTAAGTCGAGGCCACAGATTAGCTTAGCTGCCTGCCTGTCTGCTGAACCGGAGAACTCTTTTTTTTTGTCTTGCAGATGAAGATATGGCTTGCAGAGATAAAAAGAGGCACGAGGCCGAAAAAGCAGAATACGAACGCAATTAGGACTGCTGCTATGACTATCATATTTCCTCTCGTGACCCAGCTTTTATTTCTATGCCTTTTTTATTAGTTTCCCACGAGTTCCGACGTCCGCTCTATAATGCACTCACTTAATTCCTCCCTCAGAAAGTGTGAAAAAGCTTCCTTTCACTTCTCTTCCTGACCAAGCTGTGTTGTATTATTGACGCCTCGTGGGGGCGCGCAAGCGAGGCCGGTTTCTTCTTCTTTTTTTTCTTTTGTGTGTGTGTGTCGGGTCTTTACTCGCCACATCCGTGTCTGCCGATCTGGGTGCATTTCCACACCGACTATACTATTATATGTCAGAATTTGTCGAGTAACAACCTTCTTCTCTTCTCTCCATCTCTGTCGATAGGATTTATCACCTTATTGTTTGGACGTGGTTGACTCATTCTCCATGCCCTGACTTGAACCAATTATAGCAATCAGCCAACCAGGATGGAAGCTCAATTCGCGCCTTCCCTGGGGTCGGGTTAAAAGAAGGGTTTTGGTTTCACCAAAATGCTGCGGGTTATAATGTTATCTCATCAGCCCGATGGTCATGTATTTTGGAGTTGCTCAGCGTCATCCCCAGAGAGGGATGGTCAAGTGATGCACAAATTGGTGAACTGCGTCTTGGGTGTCCGGCTGGCTGGGTCAAAGAAAGAATATTCCTTTTGCATCAAAGCCAAAAGATAATGTTGAAGAAATGATCAATTTCAAGATCCTTGGAAATCAAAATCACAGACCTGATCTGATTCAGAAAATTATACAAGTCAATTAACTGTTATCTTATTACAAGAATGGGGAAGAAAAGTACATTACATGCAAATAGACCCATTTATGGAAGAAAAACAGCGGATACTTTAGAATAAACAAATAGCCCCAAATGGCAGCTGGTATTTGATTGGTGGAAGAAACAATACAAAAAGTATGCAAATGCCATAGATATTCTCAGAATAATTAATGAAAAAAAAATGTCCATGGAAATAATTAGTGTTGGGGAATCTTGATAGGCAAGACAGCAGCTGGGGTGTGAGCTCAACAAACAAAGGAAAGTGTTTTCAGAGCTTTTGTTGGGCTGAGTGGAAGATTGGATTTTCTTTTGTTAGTGGTGGAGAATCTGCAGGGGGAAAAGCAATGGCAGATAGAAACAGTGGGGATAAAGCGGGTGTAAAGGGTTGAAGTGTCAAACAAGGCACTGTTTGATACACATTTGCTAACATATCCATGTGAGACTTACTGACAGCATTGGGAGCAAAAAACCACACACAAGCTGTACATAACTGATGTACTACACAAACCAACACATTAGCAATGTTTACTTAGCTCAATGGTTAGAGCATCACTCATGAATGCTGATGTGGTGGGTTCAAGTCTCACAGTATGCAATTCACTTATTCAATATTACTGTCCATAATGTAATGAGGCCATTGTATTTGGTTAACATACCAACAATTTCCACCTCCCACAGGCTTGGATATTTGTTCCTGACTTCCTCATAGCACTCGTAGGAACTCAACTTCAGATCATGTGCACTCATTGACATGATCATGTTGGCATGTTTCACATACATTGAGCAAACAAAATCTATCAAGTCCATTGTCCTCTTGTGGGTCAACTCAAACAGTGGTTGGTGGTGCCTGTGGGCTGCAACATTCTTGGCCCCAGCTTGCTTTTTGATTGTTGGCAATGATACCAAGTGCACACTTCCAGTCAGGCTGGCCTACAGCAATTGAACACAGAAAATGAAAAAAAGACAATGTTGGTCGGGATGGGGGACAAACAAACCTACCTTGGCTCCCGCTGTGGAGCTTATATAGGCGAGGGGGTGACTGTGGGTCTCAGCAGTTGCTGCCACTGATGACATGGTCACGCGGAAAGCTGAGGCAGACCAAAGAAAACAAAGGAAAGTATCTTCAGAGCTTTA